GACGGGAGTGGTATTTCTAGTCGAGTATTGTATTTCTCTTTCTTAAGTGGAAAGGAAAATAAAAATATTTCCCTTTCTCTCAATTTTATTTTTTTTTCATGTCATTTTTTTTCCACCCCGAAGAAACCAGACAATCCGGAAAGTTCACGAAAAAAAGAAAAACAATGACAGTCTTCGATAAAAATTCCTAAAGTCATCACACATTACCAAGAGTCATCCCATCGCTCACCATTACTCCTCATCACCATCATCATCACCATTGCCATCTTCACCATCATCACCACGCACCACCATCATCGTCCGCATCCTCCGTGTCGGTAACTAATTTAGGATCATCACCATCATCACTCATTCCGTCATCAATTTATAAAGAAAAAAATCATTTTCGATACCACCACCATTATCACCATCATCATCATCAATATCACGACGACCAGATCGTGATACTGAGGCTGAAAAAGTAAGAGAGAGAGGGGAGAGGGAAAGAGACAGAAAGGGGGACATTATATATATATATATATATATATATATATATATATATATATATATATATATATATATATATATATATATATATATATATTATATATATATTATATATATATATTATATTTATATTATATTATATATATATATTATATATTATATATATATATATATATATATTGTATTATATTCATATTTATATTTATATTTATATTTATATTTATATTTATATTTATATTTATATTTATATCTATATCTATATTTATATATTTATATTTATATATCTATATTTATATTTATGTTTATATTTATATTTATATATTTATGTTTATATTTATAAATATATATATTTATATTTATACATATATATATTTATATTTATATGTTTACATTATATATATATATATATATATATATATATATATATATATATATATATATATATATATAATATATTATATATATATTATATATATATTTATATATATATTTATATATCTATATCTATATCTATATCTATCTATCTATATATATATTTATATATACATTCATATATACATTTATATATATATATATATATATACATATATAAAGAGAGAGAGAGAGAGAGAGAGGGAGAGAGAGAGAACATGAGAAAGTGATACACAGAAGGAACAAAACAAGAGAAAAACGGCCTATCCCCCTTCCCTCCCCCCTCCCCCCTCCCCCTCGTTCCCCTACACGAACCACGGGCGGGAACATCAGCGCCCTCCCAGCCCCCGGAACCTAGCGGAACTTCGCTAACTCCGCCCCCGCCCTCTCGCTACGGATCAAACCGCTACGTATCCCTTTCTTGAACAAAATGAGGCGCCGATCTATTTTGATGACGTATTATAGACGATCGGATACTGTTCCCCGACGTGTAAAGAGGAAAAGATTAATTATTTTTTTTCCCCGAGAGAGAAAGGAAGGATCTTCTGCACAGTCACGGCGGCGTTTTCCGTCATGTTCCGCGTTGTTTTCTTTTTCTTTTTTTTTGTTTTGATTTCCTCGACAATTGAATTCTTTTTTTTGGGCTTTTACTTTCTCTATTATTTTTCCTTCCGCTAGATCGTCTTCTTAATCTTCTTAATTCTTATTTTTTATTCCATCTTTATTTTTTTTCTTTATTCATGTATTCATTTTTTGATGCTTTCCCTTTTGCATCTTATTCGTTTTATTATTTTTTTCTCACTGCTTTTCTCCGGTTCTCTTTTCCCACCCTTTTCACTTTCTCCCTTTTCTCTTCCTTCTTCTTCGTACTCCCATTTTCCTTCACCCTTTCTTTCGTTTTACCTTCTCTCTTCATGCCTCTTTTCTCCTTTTGTGCCTTCTCCCTCTCCCTTTCCACCACTCCTGTCCCCTTCCTCCCTCTCTCCCTTCCTTTCCATCACTCCCTCCCCTCCCTCCCTTCCCTTCCACCACCACTCCCTCCCTCCCTCCTTCCCTTCAACCACACCCTCCCTTTCCACCACTCCCTCCCTCCCTCCCTCCCTCCCTTCCCTTCCACCACCACTCCCTCCCTCCCTCCTTCCCTTCAACCACCCCCTCCCTTTCCACCACTCCCTCCCTCCCTCCCTCCCTCCCTCCCTTCCCTTCCACCACCCCCTCCCCTCCCCTTCCTCCCTCCCTCCCTTTCCACCACTCCCTCCCTCCCTCCCTGTATCATTAGTTTGTATTAACTAATGATAATTTATTCCTTTTTTGTTATTTTATCACGCATGTCCAATTTCTGTTTTTTTATGTGCTGAGCATGATGGGAAATAGAGGTAACGCATGGGAATTTTGAGTCATAAACAAAGATTCACATTATGTTTTTGAAGTTGTATTATAAGTTGCAGTTTTATTTTCTTGTTGTTTTGGGATGCTAGAATTGTATTTAGCATCTTTAGAAGCAGATAAGCATATTCCCAAAAAAGAGATCTTCTGTTCGAAGTGGAAAACAGGGATAACACTTCACGCTCACCAGATGAGGCAATGTTGTAAGTTTGATTTCTTTATAATTTGCATTAATATTTTGACATAATTTTATTTTTCTTGGAAATTCATATGAGTGATTTGGTATTTGTTTCATTTGTTGTGCCCATGTTATAAGATTTGTGTTATTTGTGTGTTAATGTTTATTGCAGGTCGAAATAAATCATAAACCATTATGACAAGCCGTATTATTTCTGGTGACCCGTGAAACATTTCGACAACACTCAGGATGGGGCTCAGCGACGAGGAGCCTCAGCACGGCAGCATGGAGGGCTCTGCTGCTTCGGTAGACGGTTGGATGAAGAATCAGTCAAAAAGGGCTAAGCAGCATAGAGGAACTGCCAAAGGAAAGTTAACACGTAAGCTAGAAAAGTTTTATGAGCATGTGAAAGATAAAGTTGCCTTAGAAATATTGGAAGATAACTATAATTTGATTGTTAAAGCTTTTGAGGAAGTTGAACTAGCAAATGAAAGTTATTGCAATTTACTTGATGAAACTAGTGATACTCAAGAATTAAAGTCTGCAGACATTTACATTAAGGAACTTGACGATAAGAAATGTGCTGCCCATGTTTTGTTTGTAAAGATTAAAGATGAGATGCAAATGAAAGGGGCCATCAAAGTAAAATCTATTGACATTCCAAAGTTTGATGGAAAAATCAGAGACTATAGTAATTTTAAAAGGGATTATGTCAGACTTATGCAACCCAACTATGGAAAAGACCCATTTGCTCTTAGACAGTGTCTCTCAGGAGAAGCCTTAGACTCTATTTGTGGGGTCGAGCATGATTTTGATAAAATGTTTGCACGGTTAGATGACATGTACAGTGATAGTCGACGAGTAATTGATGTAGTAATTGAAGATTTGAGAGAAATTGAACCTGTAGTCGAGGGTGATAGTTTAGGTTTTATCAGAATGGTAGACAAAATTGAGCAAAATTTTCTTTATCTAGATCAGTTGGGTCTATCTTCAGAACTTAATACTGCCAATATGACAAGTCAGATAGAGAAACTCTTGCCTCCAACTCAGAAGCGGGAATGGATCAAAATAGCAGAAAATGTTGAACCTGTTGAATTATTTAAAAAACTACTGGAATACCTTTTGGGTGAAAGGAAATCCCTTAAGTATCTGATTGCCAGTGTAAGGAACCCTGTTAACACTAAAGCTAGAGTGAACTATGCTGTGTACAATCAAGATAGGATTAGCTCTGACCATACTGAAGAATCAGAAATAATGAAGAGGCTGTCTGATGTTGAGAAGGCTGTAACAAATATAAATAACCTTGTGATCAAGCTTACAGAAGAAAAGAGTGAAGAAAAGAGGTCTATTGGTACTCTAAGTACACATTTGAACAGGTGTTGGTATCATGGAACAGATGGACATGATATTTTAGACTGTGCAACATTTCAGAAGTTAAACAATAGTGAGAAATTTGAAATTCTAAGGAAAAGAGGTATCTGTTTTAATTGTCTAAAGGGAATTCATGTATCTAGGAGATGTTTTAAAAAATCAAGATGTTCTGCAACTGATGCAAATAATCAAACTTGTGGGAAGCTCCATCACACGAGCCTTCATGAAAATCAGATTGTTGGGAGTTCATACGTCAGCTTGAAAAGAAATGGAGTCATGTTCATGGTCAATAAGATTAAATGTAATAATCAAGTATTAAATACACTCTTTGATTCTGGGGCTGACGTGACAATGATACGAAATGATATGGCAGCCTCATTAGGATTGAAAGGCAAGCATATACGCTTAGCTGTGACTAAACTAGGAAACCAGACTGTAACATATAACAGTAAGGAATATGACCTTGTTCTTACTGATAAACAGGGGAATAATGTGAATATTACTGCTTATGGTATAGATGAAATAACATCATGTATAAACAAGGTTAATCTGTCACATGTGAAGCATTTATTTAAGAGTACTGATGTATGCCAATTGGATAGACCTCATGGTAAGATAGATTTACTGATAGGTGCTGACTATTGCTCTCTAATCCCTACAGTTAAAGAAACTGTAGGTGAAAATTTACAACTTATGGAATCTCGATTTGGGATGTGTGTTCGTGGTAGTCACCCTAGTATAGCTTGTGCCTCAGGTACTAGGGATATTGTAGGCATCAGAATAAACCATATTTCTGGGATTATATATGACAAAGATATAACTGTTGAACCGAAATCTGATATTAAGGATCAGATTGATAAATTTTTCACAGTGGAATATTTAGGAACAGAATGTAATCCTAGATGTGGTGATTGCAAATGTGGCAAATGTGCAGTGGGTAACAATGACTATAGTATTAGAGGAGAGAGAGAGTTAGCCCTAATTGAAAAAGGATTACAATATGATTCAGAAAAAAAAACAATGGTCCGCTAAATTCCCATGGGTTAAAGACCCTAATTTATTACAGAATAATATCTCTGTTGCTGTTGCCAAATTAAGGAGTACTGAGAAGAGATTGCTGAAACTTGGACCAGAATATGCTAAAGCTTATAACAACCAAATAAGGGATATGATCAAACGTGATGTTGCACGTAAATTAACACCAGATGAAATAAAAGGTTATGCTGGTCCTATTACATATCTTCAACATCATGAAGTGCTAAAGCCAGGATCTACATCCACACCAATTAGGATTGTCTTTAATTCCTCTGCCAAATTCATGGGACAATCTCTAAATAGCTTTTGGGCCAAGGGTCCTGATGTTTTGAATTCCATGGTGGGCATATTACTGAGATTCCGTGAAGGAGCCATAGGTATAGCAGGTGATATAAGTAAGATGTACAACAGTATTAAGCTTCCTGAAATGGAGCAACATGTACGCAGATTTGTTTGGAGAGATTTCCAGTTGAATTGTGAGCCTGAGCATTATGTGTTAACTTCAATGGGCTTTGGTGACAAACCTTCTGGAATAATTGCTATGTTGGCTCTTAAACACACAGCTGAGCTATGGATGGAAAAGTATCCCGATGCTGCTTCTATGATAATATCAAATTCTTATGTTGATGATATTATACAATCAGTTGAGAGTAAAGAGAAAGCTTTGCAGTTGATTCAGGAAACTGAGAAAATACTCTCATATGGCAATTTTAAGGTAAAGCAGTGGATTATGACTGGTGATGTTGATAAGGATGATCTAGATTTTTCAGAGAATGAAGGCGATAAAATTCTTGGTTTATATTGGGATCGTTGGAATGATGAATTTAAATTCAAGCAAGGTTGAATTTTTCTCCTAAATATAAGGGTATACGAACAGGTCCAGATTTAAAATTTTCAAATTTTATTTGTAACATTCCTCCAGTTTTAACTAAGAGAATTGTTATAAGTCAGATGTGTTCTGTGTATGACCCACTAGGTTTACTTCTTCCATACACATTGAGAGCCAAAATGTTATTACGGGAAACTGTCAGTTGCAGTACCAAGTTAGGATGGGATGACCCTTTGCCTGCCCATATGAAAGAGCAATGGGTAGTACACTTTCACAAATTATTTGGGATTGATTCCTTGTCATTTGAAAGATGTATCAAACCACCCACAGCGATAGGTCTGCCTATGCTTGTTATTTTTAGTGATAGTTCATCAAATGCATATGGTGCTGTGGCTTATGCTAGGTGGAAAATGAAATCTGGAATGTTTGAAAGTAAGCTAATAATGGCAAAAGGAAGAATAGCTCCTACCAGACAACTTTCCATACCCAGACTTGAATTGTGTGGAGCAATTATTTCATGCAGACTACGCAAATTAATCGAAAATGAATTATCATATAGATTTAGTTCAGTAATGCATATAACAGACTCGGCTATTGTGAGAGCACAGATCCAAAAGGAGTCGTATGGATTTGGGACTTTTGTAGCAACACGGGTAGCAGAAGTACAATCGAAGAGTAATCCCAATGAATGGTGGTGGATTGCTTCTTGTCACAATCCTGCAGATTTACTTACTAGACCTAATGATCCATCAGATATTATCATCAGTTCATTGTGGAAGTATGGCCCAAAATTCATGACTCTACCCAAAGAAGAGTGGCCAATAAGTCAATCTATTGAATGTGACTTGCCTGATAGAGTCCATGTGAATTTAACACACTGTCTGAAGGACTCAGATGAATGTGTTATTGATTTATCTAAATTCAAAAATTACAATAAACTTATTGCAGTTACTGGTAGGATATTAAATGTAATGAAGATCAGATCTTTAAAGGGTATCTTATTAAGACTTGAACCTGATATTCTAAATGAAGCATTACAATTTTGGATCAGGCAAGCACAAAAATGTTTTTCTGGTAATTGGAAACAGAAATATCAAAGATTGGGACCATACAAGACTGAAAATGGTATAATTATGGTAGGTCAAAGACTGGAGCATTGGTTAAAACAAAATTGGAATCAAGATAACTTTATCCTGTTACCCAGGAAACATTTGTTTACTATACTTTATATTAGTCATTTGCATAATATAGATCATGCTGGAGTGGATGTTACACTTAGTAAACTGCAGACAAAGTTCTGGGTTCCTTCAGCACGTAAAGTCATCAGAGCAGTGAAACGTAAATGTGTTACTTGTAGGAGATTAGATTACAAAGTTGAAGGTCAGTGCATGGGTCAAGTCGCTACTGAAAGAATAACTCCATGTCCAGCTTTCTATCACACTGCTACAGATATCTTTGGGCCATTTCAAATAAGAGACAATGTGAAGAAAAGAACTACTTGTAAAGCTTATGGTGTTATATTTAATTGCATGGTTACTCGTGCTGTATATATTGATGTTGTTGATGGATATGATACCCATAGTTTCTTGAAGACTTTTAGACGTTTCACAGCTGTCCATGGATATCCAGCTACTGTTCATTCAGACTTAGGCTCTCAACTGGTATCAGCTAGTAAGGAACTTCAAATAGCTATAAATAACTGGAATATGTCTGATATTTCTGAATTTGGAACAAAAGGGGGATTAAAATGGATTTTCAACCGTTCAGCTGATGCAGCATGGCAAAATGGTGTTAGTGAGTCCTTGATCAAATCTGTGAAAAGATCCTTAGCCATGATAATTGGATCTACTCTGATGACATATAGTGGTCTACAAACTATATTTTTGAAATAGCAAACCTCATGAATGAAAGGCCTATTGGATTAAAACCTGGTATGGATTTAGAATTAGGAACTTACTTGTGCCCAAATGATTTGCTTTTAGGCAGGGCAAGTAATCATGCACCATGTGGACCATGGAAAGATTCTTTCAATACAAAGAGAAGGTTAGATTATATACAAAATGTTGTTAATACATTTTGGCGTAAATGGCAAAGAGATTATTTCCCTACATTAATTGTTAGACAAAAAATGGCATACTGATAAAAGAAATCTGCAGTCTGGTGATATTGTGTTGATACAAGATTCTAATACAGTTAAAGGAAAATGGAAAATGGGACAAGTTGTAAAAGTAGAAAAGGGAAGAGACACTAAAGTTCGGGATGTGAGTATTAGATATAAAGTGCAGAAACCAGGTAAAGAGTACAAAGGTCAGTCTGATACTATCATTAGAAGATCAGTCCACAAGCTGGTTGTATTATTACCGGTGGAAGAACAATGATTGTGTGGGGGAGTGTATCATTAGTTTGTATTAACTAATGATAATTTATTCCTTTTTTGTTATTTTATCACGCATGTCCAATTTCTGTTTTTTTATGTGCTGAGCATGATGGGAAATAGAGGTAACGCATGGGAATTTTGAGTCATAAACAAAGATTCACATTATGTTTTTGAAGTTGTATTATAAGTTGCAGTTTTATTTTCTTGTTGTTTTGGGATGCTAGAATTGTATTTAGCATCTTTAGAAGCAGATAAGCATATTCCCAAAAAAGAGATCTTCTGTTCGAAGTGGAAAACAGGGATAACACTTCACGCTCACCAGATGAGGCAATGTTGTAAGTTTGATTTCTTTATAATTTGCATTAATATTTTGACATAATTTTATTTTCTTGGAAATTCATATGAGTGATTTGGTATTTGTTTCATTTGTTGTGCCCATGTTATAAGATTTGTGTTATTTGTGTGTTAATGTTTATTGCAGGTCGAAATAAATCATAAACCATTATGACAAGCCGTATTATTTCTGGTGACCCGTGAAACACTCCCTCCCTCCCTCCCTCCCTTCCCTTCCTTTCCACTCCCTCCCTCCCTCCCTCCCTCCCTCCCTCCCTTCCCTTCCACCACCACTCCCTCCCTCCCTCCCTTCCCTTCCACCACCACTCCCTCCCTCCCTCCTTCCCTTCAACCACCCCCTCCCCTCCCCTCCCTCCCTCCCTCCCTCCCTCCCTCCCTTCCCTTCCTTTCCACTCCCTCCCTCCCTCCCTTCCCTTCCACCACCACTCCCTCCCTCCCTCCTTCCCTTCAACCACCCCCTCCCTTTCCACCACTCCCTCCCTCCCTCCCTCCCTTCCCTTCCTTTCCACTCCCTCCCTCCCTCCCTCCCTTCCCTTCCACCACTCCCTCCCTCCCTCCCTCCCTTCCCTCCCACCACCACTCCCTCCCTCCCTCCTTCCCTTCAACCACCCCCTCCCCTCCCCTCCCCTCCCTCCCTCCCTCCCTCCCTCCCTTCCCTTCCTTTCCACTCCCTCCCTCCCTCCCTCCCTCCCTTCCCTTCCACCACTCCCCCGAAAGCTGCCAACCATCCCTCCCTCAACCGGCATCCACGTCCTCAGAGCGCCATATGGCACCCTTTTTTCCCCTTGCCTTTATCTGTGTTTGTGTCTTCTGTTTCTCCCTCTGTCCTTGCTCTTTTTTTTTTCTTCTTATATACTGTTTACAACTAGATCTACGTATCTATTTTACCTTTATATATATTTCTATATATATTTCCTTTTTTCTTTTTTCGGTCTTTCTTTCTCTCCCTATCCCTCTTTCTCTCCTTCCTCTCTCCCTCTTCCTATCCCTCTCCCTCCTCCTCTGTCTTTCCCTATCCCTCTCCCTCCTCCTCTTCTTCCTCTCTCCCTCTTCCTATCCCTCTCCCTTTCCCTATCCCTCTCCCTTTCCCTCATCCTCTTCCTTTCCCTCTCCTTCTCCGTCTTCCTCTTCCTCTCCCTCTCTTCTCCTTCTCACCTTCACCCTCCCCTCCCACCTTGTCTGATGCTTTTGTTTATTTTTTTCTGGAAGGGATATGTAAATGACATTAGTCTGCTCGGGGTCTCTGCTCTCTCTTTCTTCTTCTGTTGCTTTTTGCGGTCTTAAACTCTTCTCTTTGTCTGTGTTTGTCTGTCTCGGTGTGTCTCTGTTTCTCTCTGTGTTTCTATTTCTCTTTCTCTTTCTCTCTCTCTCTCTCTCTCTCTCTCTCTCTCTCTCTCTCTCTCTCTCTCTCTCTCTCTCTCTCTCTCTCTCTCTCTCTCTCTCTCATTCCTTCTTTCTTTCTCTCCCACCCCTTCAAATCCCCTTTAACAACCTTTCCCTTTTCTGCTGTTTCCCTTTCCCTATTTTCGTCCCTTTTATCTCTATCTCTCCCTCTCTCTCCTTCTCTCCCATTATTTATTGTCTCCAACCCTTTTTACACACCGCTCTCTCCTCCCCCCCTTTCCTCCTCTCTTACTCTCTCGCTCCCTCCCCTCTCCTCCTCCCTCTCCCTCCCCATCTCTCTTTCCCTCTCCCTCTCCCTCTCCCCCGGCACAAGGACATATTGAACGCCGCTGCAACAAAATGCAACAAGTGATGCCGTGACAGCGCCGCCAACAAACAGGAAAAAACACTGTACCTTCATTGCTCCAACCTAGCCATGCGCTCACTCAGGATCCCTTCACTACGAGGATCAAAGAAATTTACAGATTTTCGGTGGAAAAAAAGGTAGTTATTGTTGATTTGGGGAAGGGGGAAGGGGGGAGGGGGGAGGGGGTTGGGGAGGGGGGGCAAATAACTAAAGATTTGAAAATATTACAAAATAATACTGGTAGTATTTATCCAAACAACAGCTTACTACTATTACTCTTCCTCATTTATATCTTCGCGTTTTCCTTCTTCCTCCCACTTCCTGTTTTTGTTCTTCTTCCCTTTACTCCTCCAACTTCTACAACTATTACTATTAGTACTATTACTACTACTACTACTACCACTACTACAGCAACTACTACTACTACTACCACCACCACTACTACTACTACTCCTACTACTACTACTACAAATACTCCAACTCCCCCACATCCCCCAGCCACAGCCACTCCTCCTCCTCCAACTGCACCCAACCAAATGCAGACCCGCCCACCCCGGGCGCGCAAGTCTAAGCAGCTCCTGTTTGCGACGCCGGAGATCACAACACGCAGGTGGGCTTCACTAATCGCGTGCGGCGCTCAGGAAAAGGGGCTTCGACTCACCCTCTGCCTCCCTGCCTCTCCTCTCCCTTCCTTCTACCCTCCCTGCCTCCTGTCCTCTGCCCTCCCTAACTCTCTTCTCCCTTCCTTCTACCCTCCCTTTCACCCTGCTTCCTGTCCTCTGCCCTCCCTGTCTCTCTTCTCCCTTCCTTCTACCCTCCCTGCCTCCCTGCTTATGCCCTCTGCCTTCCCTGCCTCCCTCTTCCTTCCCCCTATCCTCCCTGCTTCAATGTCCTCCTTCCCTATTTCATTCTACCACCCTTGCTTCTCTACCCTCCTGCTTCTCTGCCTTCTTCCCTCCTTCCTTTTATCCTCCCTGCCTCCCTCCCTATCCCCCTCCATTCGCTCTATCCTCTCTACTTCCCTTCTCACCCCCTCCTCTTTCCCCTTACCCTCCCAGCCTCCTATCCCTTTTCCTCCTTCCTTCCTTCATCCCTCTACTCTCTCTCTCTCCACCACTCTACACTTCTCTCTTTCCCTCCCTTTACCTTCCGTGTTCTCCTCACTCCGCCTCTCCCCTCCTGCCTTCTCACCCTTACCCCCTCTTTCCCTCCCCTCCCCCCCTCTCCCCTCCCCCGACTCCCCCCTCCACCCCTCCCTCCCTCCCTCCCACGACTCCCCCCTCCACCCCTCCCTCCCTCCCTCCCTCCACCCCTCCCTCCCTCCCTCCATCCATCCACACACCTTCTCGATCTCCATATTGGCCAAAGTATTGAATTCTAATAACGACACACGCACGCACTCGGACACGCACACACCCACGTACATGCACACAAACACGCATATGAAGACGCAGGACTATATAAATACATACATACATACACATTCTTACAGACATACATATATACACGCATGCATGTATAACATACATCTATGCATGCATACCTACATACATACATACTTTCATTCATACAAACACACACACACGCACACGCACACACACACACACAAACACACACACACACAAACACACACACACACACGCACACACACGCACACACACACACACACACAAACACACACGCACACACACGCACACACACACATCGACTATGAACTCGACTGCCTCTTGTAATGTGCTGGTTTGTTATGGCTTACGTAATCTAGGAAATGGAGGAGTCGGAGGAGAGGGAGAGGAAGAGAAGGAAGAAGAGGAGGAGGAGGATAGGAAAGGGGAGGGAAAGGATGAATAATCAGATAAGGATGAGGAAGAGGAGAGAAAGAAGAGGAAGAACCAGAAGAGGATGAGGAGGAAGAAGAGAAGGAGGCGGAGGAGAAGGAGGAGGAAAGGGAGGAGGAGGAGGAGGAGAAATGAAGAAGATGAAGATGAAGAAGAAGAAGAAGAAGAAGAGGAAGAAGAAGAAGAACGAGAAAAGAATGGAAAGGAAAAGAAGAAGAAAAGGCTGAGAAGGAGTAGAGGAGAGAAAAAAAAAACAGAAACAGGAGAAAGACTATTGCGAACATAAATAAAACAGAACGGGCGAGAGAGGGAGACCACGAGTGTTTTGGGGAAGGTAATTAGGAGAAAGTAGCGGGGGGGGGGGTGCTGCACCTGTCCTCCTCCCTCTTCTTCTTCCTCTTCCTTTTCCTTTTTCTTTCTCCTTCCCTCACTTTTTTTCCTTGTCTTCCAGTTTCCTCTTTCCTCTCTTTTTTTTCTTCATTTTTGTCATTTCCTTATTCTTTCTTTTCATCTTCTCCCTCTTATTTTCTGATATAATTTGTCTTCCTTTTCTTTCTCCCTTTCACGTTTCTC